GCGCCCAGCGCGCCCAGCGCGCGCAGGCAGCGCACAGCCAGCGCCAGCCCACCTTCCGAGCCCGATTCGGGAAAATCCAGCCCACTTTCACCGAGCCCAAATTTGTGAGGGTGCAACCAACTTATTTAAGAGTCTTTTCAGCCCAATTGACCCTAGGGTAATCCAAGTCAAAGTCAATTTGTCCTTAGTCAAAGTGGGTGCATGTGCATGCATTATTTTAATGCACATGTGTAAGTTTTTGTTCCCCACTCACCTTGTGTTCGACTAGAGCCTTTGTCCTCTTCCAAGATGCTCTGAAAACCACCTCAAAATCCTCCCAAGTCATCTCCAATGCAGCCCCAAGTCCCTAGGTGCACATGAAGTGGGAAAAGAGCACTTTAAATGTGTCTCCCATGAGCTACCTAGTGAAATCCGCCCAAGACTCCATTTAACCTCATTCTTCAGAAATTAACACTCTTCGACACTTAAGAATTTCACCCAAACTCAGCCATATAGAGAGAGATAGCCGAGAGCCTTGCATGCATGCGCCTAGGCCCGATAAAGAAGAGCACCGAGCCATCTCTTGTGCTAGCCGAGTTTTGTTGAACCAAGCCAAGTTCATATCATCTCTGGGAGTATAAGGAGTTTAGAGAAGTCATCATTCCCAACCAAAGGCCACCGAGTCAAGCCACGGCCTATAGCGACCCGAGGAGACCCGAGTTAAGGGCTTGAGTCTCATTTTCGACTTCGGTGAAGGTTAGCTAATGCTTTCTTTTTATCCTAGCTATAACATGATATTTTAAGATTTATCATGTAAAGAAATCATGTTTTGCTCAGGTAGAATATGAGTTTCGGATTTTTGAAGCTTAAAGCCTCAAAATCGTATTTTTCGTTACATGCATGTTTAGGCCGAGTTCTTGAGCTTAAAAATACTTATAAATCTTGAATAATATGGGGTTAAAACAGTTTCTCAAAATAAGTAAGGGTGCTCGGTCATCTAGAAGTCGATTTTTTAGCTCATTTTTCACCTCTGAGCCATTTTGTTATGCATGTTTGATGAACCCTCATTAAAATCGTGTTAGGGCTGTGGAATATGGCACATTTATTAGTCTTTGGCCTCATGGTGAAGGCCTTAGACGTTTTTGTTGAGTATGTGACCATATATGTATTTTTGAATCAGCAGTTGCTGCTGATTTTTTTTACAAAAATCATCATAAATCGTTTGTTCGTCCGATTGCTTTGAAATTTGAACTGTATGACCTTCTTTTGAAATGTTATGTGTTGTAAAAATTTCAATTCGAAATGATGTCTGTAGCTATGTCAAATGTTGATTTGGAATTCTGGGTAGAAACTTTATAAAATCATTAAAAATCGGATTCTTGGTGTTTTGCTTTGATTTTGGTGAGTGTTAGTAATTTGATGTTATATATGTTTTGTTTATGTTTCATTGAAAAATTCACAAGATTGCCCGGTGAACTAGAAAGTTCAGATTTTCATCGTCTTTTTGTAAGATTTGGTTGCTTAAGTTAAAAAGAAGTGTTGGGTCTGAAACTTTGTGAAAATATGTCTTTCTGGGTCTATTTTAATGTGTAAAAATTTCAAGTGAATTGGTCGAGTACTTTTTGAAATCGATCGGTCCTATTTGAAACCCTA